TCCTGATATCACCCCAGGTCGGTTTCAGATGTGGCTTAAATCGCCAGGGCTGTGAGTCCACGTTCAGGACTGGAAGCCCCGGCGCAGCGTGCCATGCCGAGGCTGACTCTCACCAATTCAAACATCTTGGCGGGGAAAGCAAGAAACGTCTCGTGGACGGCCACATCTAGCACCGGCACTTCTGATCAGTCCCAAGTCACACCTCTCAATCTTTCCTAATCTCACAGTTCTCATTTTCAATTCTAATCTTCCTCCTCTTTCTGCCCCCCCAACTATAAATCAACAAATACAGCTATTTAATTTTGTCCAAGCATTATAATTTTACATATTCTCAGAATCTTTAAATGGTAGTAGGGAGAAAAAGCAAGCAAAACAAAGAATTTTCCCTTCTAGAAATCAAGGAAGTTCTTCGGCAAGCCCTTGAGCTTCTTGCAAGAGGAGGGGGCCCTATCGAAATAAATGCACCTGAATAACCTTTTGGCTTTGACATTTCTTTATATTATGGAAGCTTGTAATTTACAAATTTAAAAAATGGTTAACCTTCCCATTGCAACACCACTTAAGGCTTTGCCTCTATGGTTTTCCAGGGCTGTAGATATATTCCTAATAATCAGTAATGTATCAATACTAGAATTCACTGTCCGATGTGAAAGCTTTCTCTCTGGAGAGCAGTGTGATGAGGACTCAAGACGGATGGGGTTGACCATGACAAGGTGGGTTGCTGGGCTCAGGAAGCACTTTGGAGGATCAGGTGGAATTGGAGGGGATGGGGAAAGGCGAAGCCAGCAGGGGGAGGAGCCACGCAGAGATGAGACAGCCAGGAGGTGAACTTGACCTATTTAGCTTTCCTCCCAGACCCAGCGGCTAGAATGCGGGGTTGCCACCTAGCCCAGAGGTGCCTTACAATAGGCCCACTTAGGAGGGCTTCTCGGAGACTGAACTTTTCCTTGGGACTGAATGTGTTTTAGTTCTAAGCAGCTGAACTGCAGGACTTGTAAGTGTTTGGAATGACCAACTTGCAATTTGGGGAATACTTACAGACTCTTGTATTTCTATATAGTAATCAATCCTCTGTCCCTGGTTATTATACATTCATGCATTAAACCAACCTCAGGCCAAACACATTTTTTGAACAAAACTGCAATTACGGTACACAGGTACAGATTTCTTTTCTTGACATTTTTCCAACTATAGCATGAAGTTATATAGCTTATAGACTGTTTTAATCATTATAAATAATCGAGATAATTTAAAGTATACAGGAAGACATATATAGTACATATGCAAATACTGTACCATTTTATATAATACACTTAAGGATTCTTGGGCTTCAGTATCTATAGGGATCCTGACACCAAGCGCCCGAAGATTCTAGGTGTTAACTGTCAAATACTGGCATTCTTTTGGATCCATTTCTACTGAAACACATTTCGACATTTGTAAAAGCAGAGTATTCCTTTACAGTCTTTGATAAGGTCACACAAAAGCCTCCTTTGTATTGAAGTCTAAAATTAATGCAATGTCATTAAAAATAGTTACAGCACTCTGAGGGTGCCAAGCCACTCGAAATACCGATCCGTCTTATTTTAGCAACACCACATGCGCCGGCATAACAACAGAACTGCACGACGAAGTGCTTAAGCAGGAAAGGATGTCACTGGTTCTCAGATCCTGTCTCTGTTTGCAGTGGGAGTGATGAATTGGCTGAGAAGTGCATATTTAGCTGACTAGGAAGGAAACGATCCAGCACTTAAAAAAAAAAAAAATTATAGTGCTGAATTTAGTTGGATCTGCATGACCAAATATCCTCCAAGGATAAAGGAACATAAATAAAACACATTTGAGAAGTATTCATGCTGCTGTTGTTTGCCTTAAATCTGTCTCTACATTCACATATTTTATGGGCCATGAAATCAGCATCTACATATATTACTTATGCTGTTTAGTATAATGAAAATTGTTTAAAATAACAAGGTTTATCTGGGGAGATGGCTCAGTGGAATAAGCACTTCCCTGGCAAGTGCAAGGATCTGAGTTCAATCCTTAGTTCCAAAAAAAAAAACAAGGTGTAGATTAACTGCAAAAGCAGTAATCTCATTAAGGAATAAAGTCAGTTAGAAGATGAGAATATCCCTGTTGAAGTCTTGTTTAATTTCTACAAAAATGGTTTTTGATCTCAAATCCATTCCCTGGGGAGCAGATACAGGATATACCTTCCACCGATGTCTTAATACTTACAGGTTCTATTCTTTAATTCAACTTTCTGGTCTAGACTGCATCAAATTTTGTGGGGGCAAAACGTACAATTTCTTTTCCAAATAATTAACCAGCTGGACAAGCACCATTACTTCAAGAATTTTTTTAATTGTTTTTCTTCCTCTTTGAAAGGTCATTTTTACCTTATTATGAATATAATTTTGTTTTACTTTGGCCTTTCAGTCTATTCCATCCATCCATCCATCCTCGCACACACATTTTAACTATGTACCCGTGTTTCTGAAGGGGATGATTTGAGACAGGGTCTTGCTACATAGGTCAGGGTGTCTTCAAACTGCCGGTGATCCTCCTGCTGCAACCTCCCATAATCTGGGATTACAAGTATGTGCCACTTGCCAGCACACACCATACTTAAGCCAGTGCCAACACTGCACAACGACTTCGCAGCCCTGCTGCCTGTCTAGAACCCAAGAGCAGTGGCTACAGCCAACTGGATGAAAGACAGCCACTCAGGCCCATGGTAACGGTACCCACCTGAGATCCCACCACTCAGAAGGCTGAGGCAGGAAGCTCACAATTCAAGGCCAGCTGGGCTACACAGAGTTCAAGTAGACAGTTCAAGGCCAGCCAGGGCTACACACTGAAGTGAGACCGTGCCTCAAAAACCAAACCACACCAAATAAAGAAGACACTCAAACTGAAACAGTGGGTCACAGGGGGGTAAGGGTTTATGTCAATCTTGCCAGGAGGACCTGCCCCTGTCAACACGAAGGGGTTGGCATACAAATAGAGGCATTTCCTATAGGGCAGCAGAAGCCATGAAAAGGCAAACTGACAAAATTCAAGGGCCATTCATCAGTACTAAGAGGAGGATTTCTTAGTTTAATACATATTCACTAATGAACAAGTCAGACATTTTTTCTGATCATCAAAAACAAAGTGGAGAGGGCTGGGGAGATATCTCAGCAGTCTAAGCACCTGCCTGGCAAGTGCAAGGACCTGGGTTTGATCCCAGGCACCACATGGAGTGTCAGCCCTGCCCCATGGCCCACCGAAACCAGGCGTGGTAATATATGCCTATAATCCCAGTGCTGAGGATCATTATGAGTCTGAGCTGCATAGCGAGACCCTGTACCAAATCCATCAATTAAAAAAAAAAAAGAGTAGAGCTCAAATTCAGTAGTCCCTGGGCTCGTGGAATGTACAGGGGAACGGGAATTACACCAAGGACGTGAGGTGATTTCTGGTGGTGGCAGCGCCGTAAGAACATCAAGAAGGTGAAGTTAAAGTGAGTCACAAACTCGGGGAAGACCTTTCTGCACCAGAGTGACAAGGAGTCAATCCTGCTTTATGAAAGCACCCTACAGCTGTTACATAAGCATTCGGGGTGCAGTGTGTGGGCAGAAGCAGGAAAAGAATATTAGCATCTTCTAAATGGAGTGCAGCAAGGGTGTACGCCTTTGCCCCTAATCTGTGATCCCCTAACCAGCCACTTTTGGTAACACCGCAGTGCGTGTCCCCTAAAATGCACCAGTTATGGGCTCAGAAAGGTCACACCCTGGGCTTGGTCATCTCTTCGATCTTAGTCAAGTTGCTTAGGCCTTGTGAATGTTTTTTCCCCCAACATTATGCAGAGACAACACTACCAGACAACAGGTTTTAGGGAGGAATAAATAGAGAAATTCACAAGCACCTGACTAAGGGCAAGGCTAGTATTTCATAAGCATGTTTACCTGTTTAACAGCTTGTATACTGGCATAGAAAGAAGATACTAGAGTCACTATGGCTCACTTTGAAAATTCTGGGCTCAAAGTGCATGTGGTCCCCATCTTACCACGGTTTGACTTAAAAGTTTGAGTTGCTGATGGTGGAAAATAGGCAACCAATCAGAAGCATACTTTGAATTCTGCTTTTGGATCTGTTTTCAAATTATCTTCCTGGGCTGTGTCTGTAGCTCTGTGGTAGAGGGCTTGCCAAGTATGCACAAGGCTCGGAGTTCAATCCCCAGTACTCCCCCCCAACACACACAATATCTGTCTTTCTTTTTTAAAATATTCTTTTATAATTTTTCTTGGTACATTGTACACTTGCTCTTAGCCAAAAGGCAAGAAGCAATTATTGGTACATTTTAGGTATACATAACGATCACATTCATCAAAATGAATTTGTATCTATACATGATATACCTTGTTTCTTTCCCATTCCCTTCAACTCCTCTCTCCTTATTTATATAAGCTTTGTTTCCATTTTTCTCCTTGTATTTTCTCTTTTTTGTATTTGGACCTTGTCCTGACCTAGTGATGGACAGATACTCTCTGGTGGTGAGGCTAGATAGCTGTAGGGAGCTACAACTCTCCCACAGCCACCAGGATCGCCAGTATTCTCTGGGCATTGTGTGGTCAAGCTACAATATTCTGCAGGTAGGGAAGTCAAATGCATTGAGTCATAATTGATATTTGACATTTAAAGATTTATCCTTGGCATCTCCCAGCTGAGTGACCTTGGATGGGCTCTGGGATTCCTTCAGCCTCAGGAACCTTACCCAAAGCAAGGATCTGAAGAGTTTCCATGTTTGTTTTTTTAAAGTCAACAGAAAATGGAAATGTACTTTTTAAAGTTTCTAATATTAGGAGAAGATATCATACAATGTCTTTTAAATAAATTGTAGGTCAAAGATATAGTATAAGTCTTAGAATAAAAATTAAGATTAAGCAATATTCAGAAAATTAAATACTAATTAATTAAAAATTAAATGGTTCAAAACAACTGAACTAAAAAAAAGTTTTCATGATAGCAAAGAAGTACTAAGGGTAAAACATAAGATAAATACTGGAATGGCAAGTAAATGACCAGCACTTCTAACAGTTTGAGATAGGGTATCGCACAAAGTTCTAGTGTGTTGTGGACGTGCATAATGACCGTGACAGTTACTGGTGGCTAGGTGTCACTTGTGGAACTGAGCTACAGCTATTTCTTTGAAATCTACCCTGTAGACTCAGGTGGAGTCATGACTCATAGGGTGGAAGAGAAGTCCATTTGTAGAGTGTGATGATGGAAATATTTTGCTGCTGAACACAAAAGAATAACTGAAAGACTACTATTGTATACCTCTTATTCTCCTATGTTTACTTGTTTGCCCTATTTGGTGGGTTCTTTCCATTCTAATTCATGGAGCTATGATCAATTTGCTCCCTCTCTAGAATATCATTTAGTAGTCTGTGTAGTTTCCATGTTTGGATTGTTTCAAATGAAACATTTTATTTAAAGTACTTTGAACATAGTATATGTTTCATATATGCTTTTTTAATGTTTCTTTTTAAATTTTTTTTTTAGGGAAGGGTCTACAAGGTGTTCAGGGTCTCACTACTAGATCAGACTCATAGTGATCTGCCTGTTTACAGCCTCCCTAGAGATGGGATGACAGGCATGTGTGTGTGTGTGCCACCACACCCAGTCTCAATTACGGTCTCAGTGTGCCCTCAGGGCAGGGGCAGCACAGAAGACCTGGAGATTGAACCCCTGGCCCCTGCACCTGATTGCAGTCACTTTAATCTGCTATTTGGCCAGCCCCATATATGCTTTTTAAAAAGAAATATAAGTATTTGTTTTTACTAGAAGGAATATGAATACTATACTGTGATTAAATTCCTCATAATTTAAGAAGCAGCTACTTCAAGTTACAAGCAATTAAACCAGACAATTAAAGTTCACAAGGCCAGGCAGAATGCCACATACCTATAATCCTAGCTAACTCAGGAGGCTGAGGCAGGAAGATTAAAAGTTCAACACCGACCCAGGTAACTGAAGTATGACCCTCTCTCAAAACAAAAAAACCCAAAAATTTCAAAAAGGGCCAGGGAGATAGTACAGCCATAGAATGCTTGCTTATGCACCAAGCCACAGTTTCTGCTCCCAGTACTACAAATAAATAAAATATCATGGCTGTGTACCTCATCTTTCAGTTGATTTGATAAGTGTTTCTCAGTAGATTCAGAACTCATTCCCATAGATCTAAACTCTAGAGATCTGTGGTGTGGCTCAGAGGCAGAAGTTTGTCTAGCATGCACAAGGCCTTGGGTTCAATTCTATGCATGAAAAAAATTTGCAAACAGAAGTGCATTTGTCTAGGAGTTACCCAGGCGGCCTCCACATATGACACAAAGAGGACAGTGTGCTTCACCAAGGGCAGAGCTGAGCTTGCTTGCCTTTCTGTTCTTTCTTCCTACACATTGATAAAAGGAATCCATTCAGTGCACCAAATAAGAAAAGGGTTTCCTCTCCTCAAAAGTCCTTGGGAACCAAAGAAAACTGTATCTGAACTACAAGGGTTATGTATGAGTCCAGCCCAAAGACCAGGGGGAATTAAAACCTTGAGAAGTTGAAGGTGACCCTGGTATGGTGGCAGTACCAACATTCATGTGGAGAACAGTCTCTGTTATGTGATAGTAAGGCCTATTCTTAGGACTTTCACAGGACTTAGAAATAATAGCATCATGTCTACAGCTTATTCTCAAATGGCTGGAAAAAAGATGGACTGGCAATACGGAAGTTACAATATTTCTAATATTCTTGCAAATTTTCTATAGCTTTGAAGTCATTTCTAAATGAAACTACAGGGTCATTCTGATAGCTCAGCTGACTAAAGCGCCTGCTTAGGCAGAGTGCGGCAGCCAGGGTTCGATCCCTGGGGTGCTGTGCCGGCCCCACCCATGGGGCACACTGAGACAGCAATTGAGACTGAATGTGGTGGTGTGCGCCTGTAATCCCAGCCCTTGGGAAGATGAAAACAGGAGGATCACTACAAGTCCTATCTATGTAGTGAGACCCTGTAGACCCTGAACTAAAATATATTAAAAAAAATAAATAAATAAATAAATAAAACTACAGTTGATAGTGTGGGAGGAACAGCAGGATATTTTCACAACCTCAAAAGTCACTGTACTTCTTAGAGGGTGAATCCTTCATAGTGATGAAATACAGTCACCTGTCTAACCATCGAATTAATTTCAGCACCCCCAGTAATATGACTTGAACATCATGTGCCTTCTGATATGACTCCCCAGAAAGCTGGATTTAATCCCACTCTCTAAATTTAACCTGAACTAAATTACTCTGAAATTCCAGGCTAACACAACTGGAAGGACAGTCTACAGGAGTGACATAAATGCTACAGTGTCAATGATATAAGACAAGGAGGGGCTGGGTGGGGGAGAGGGTCTAGCTGGGGGTGGAGCACTTGTTCAGCACACTGTATGGAGGCGCTGGGTTCAATTCCCAGCATGGCTAAGAAAACAAAAGGAAAAAAAAAAAAAAAACAATGAACATTTCAAGATTTAAGAAATATAAAGCAACATGATAAGAATATAAAATAGAGGGCTGGGGAGATAGCTCAGTGGCACAAGCACCTGTCTGGGAAATCCAAGGTCCTGAGTTCAATGCCCAGTATGAAAAAAAAAAAAAAAAGAATATAAAATATAAAGCCTTGGATTGAGGTCAAAACAAGTACAAAGGAAAGGACTATAGCAACACAGACAATTCTAATATGAATATCATATACGTACTACACAATTCTACTGCAATAATGTGAAGTTCCCCAAATACAGTAACTTAATCATGGTCAAAAGGGTAGAATGGAACTCCCTTAGTATTCTTGAAGGCTGAGGCAGGAGGATGGTTGTGAGTTCGAGACCAGCCTGGGCTACAACATGAGCACAAGTCCAGTCTGAACTGCAGAGCAAGGGCCTTGTCTCAAATAAATAAATAAACAGATAATTCTAAAAATATGTTTTCTTGAAACGTACCTTCCCCAGAATGCTGATAGCACAGGCCATACCAACTTGCCCCACACCCACGACGGTGATCTTGTTGTTTGGCACCCCGGCTTCCTCTTCTGCAACAGGGGCGATGAGCTTCTCCTTCAGGGTCGCCATTCTACACTGCAAGAAAAGAACCAAAGCATCACACCCACACACAGAATCCCAGCAGGAATCATTTGAGACGTCACCACTGCAACGCTGAGCTGCAGTTCAAATGAAACTCGTGAAACTTGGAACCCTGAATGGGCTCTTAAGGAACCATGGGACCCTGTGAACGAAAGATTTAACGAAGGGGAAAAAAACCTTCAGAGTTAAAAACACTGGCCTCGAATTCCATTCGCTCAAGCTGCAATCATTTGTCTTCTTTCTTTTTTTAAATACTTCTCTTTCTTTCTTGTTTCCTTTCTTTTTGAAATTGGAGGACTGGAGATTGGACCTAGTACCTTCCCACTAAGCCACATCCCCAAGACCCTGCTTCTATTCTGAGACAGGGTCTCCTGAAGCTGCCAGAGTACACTCAATCTTTTGATTCTCCTGCCTCAACTTCCCCATAGTGTGAGATTATAGGCAAACCAGGAGTCTTACAACCATTTTTATTGTAATCATTTATATACTGGGTAAGAGACATGTACATTTATATTTAAATAAGTTAATTTGTTTGTCTTGCTCCTCTAAAGAAACACATGTATATAATTTTATAAACTTATTAACCTACATGAAGCTCGGTCAAAACATATGGCAACTTTTGAATACAGTTCCTGCTACAAATGGTTGCTCTCACTCTTGAAAGATCAAAGGCTTCTTTTACTTTAACTCTCATATAAAGTATGTCACAGGGTACTGAATATGTAGTATGCAGTTAATAAATATCTGATGACAATAAAGTAGTAGTGAATAAAATTTGTGCAGAAATCTACAAAACTATTAATCTGAATTTCTTCCACTGTACCGTGGAAATTTCTTAGAAAGTGGGCAGGTAGTTAATACAATTTCTTTTCAAGGGGTCACATTAAGAGAATCAACCTCTGAATCAATTATTTTTCCCCAATCATCCAAAATTATGCAAATTTTTTTAAAAATGCAAACCGGTTATAAAACATTTTCTACAGTAACACCTATTTTTTTCTATGCCATCAGATTAATTTTGAGCTAATAGAAAAAAAGGCAAACCTTACTGAAATAAACATCAATTCCACAGTGACACAGTACATAAAATACATTGTTCCACCTTCTGAACAGGGTATAGATCATAAATAAGTCCTTTTTTGCCCCTGGTACTGGGGATGGATCCCGGGGCCTTCAAACTATAGCCTCAATGCTTTTTATTTTGACTTGTGATCTCACTAAATTCTCAAGTTGCCAAGACTGGGCTCAAACCTGGGAGCCTCTTGCTTCGGCTTCCCAGGGTCCCCTACTCTGTTTTTTTATTTTTTTTTATTTTTATACTTTTCATACTAGACAGTTAAATCTGGGATAGCTGTATCTTTTTCAAACTGAGTCTTTCAACCTAATCTTAGTTTTGTTTCCAATCTGCGATAGACTAAGTAACAACACTGGCTTAGTAACTGCATAATGGGAGTTAGGAAGTCTGCCTGCCGGAATAAAGCACCTGAATCTGGGACAACCTTGTAACAACATTTTCTCAAGTCAGTTAGGACTAAATGGAGAAGAGATTATCATGCAGATCATACTTACAGTTCTCTACTGGACACGACTGAAAAAAAGACACATTGTCACTAAAGGGCCCCCACAAGTGCATGGCCTTAAAATGAAATTCAAGCATGATCTGCATTTTGAGCAGAATCAGATGAATACTCCATCTCTTTCTGTTGAACTCAGTTTCAAATGCATAACTCCCCCCATCCATTTATATTTTGTTAATCCATTTAAGATCTTCAGGTCTAAAGCCCAGCCTTGGGAAGTAATAGAGAACAAATAGTCTCTACCATAAATATAGATGAGCTTTTCTAACAGATCTCATACATAAGTTTCAGGGAGTTCAGAAACTACAACTTAGAGGGTCCATCCGGTATGGATCCTTTCAGATCTTTGTAGAAAAAAGTGCACTTTTAAAAGTTTTCCTTTGTGAGAAAAAAATGGTTTGCATTATATTCGGTCCAGGGACAAATCAGTGCTGGCTGGGTAGAAAATGAATAATAATAAACAGGAAACAAACAAACAAACAAACCCAGCCTATTGGGAGTGGCTGAAACTGGAAATAGGTCATATATGGGAGGGTAGGACAAGGCCACAGTGCCTAAAATTTCAGGCTACCTCAGTCTAGAAAAAAGCAACCTGCCTGGGCAATTTCCACTATTAGTTGCTAGGCAACCTTGTGTCTCCTGATACCAATCTTGCAAAGGTATAAATACTCCTGCTGTTTTTCTTTAGGTCCACTTGCCAATCAGGCAAACAGGCCTCCACCTGACCTCAGCTATTATCTAATCCTTATTCTGGAATCCTCCTGGAGACCATCAAGAGACCAACAGTCCCTACCACAGCCCACAGGGTTGGGCATAGAGGAGCATGCCTGTAATCCCAGCACTCAGGAGGCAGAGGCAGGAGGATCATTGCAAGTTCGAGACCAGCCTGGGCTACAAAGTGAGTTCAAGGCCAGCCTGAATCGCATAGTGAGATCCTGTCCCAAAAGGACAAAACAAAACAAAAAACAGCCCAGGTCTCTTGGTGTCCTACATGTCCCACTCTCCTGGATATATATCACTAGAAGTAAACTGTTCCTACCAGTATGTGCCTATAATCCCAGCACTCAAGGAGGCTGAGGCAGGAGGATCATGAATTGAAGCCCAACCTGGACAACTTGGTGACTTAGCAAGACGCAAAATAAAAAAATCAAAAAGGGTTAACTCAGGGTGAGGGCTCTTAGATCAACCTCCAGAACCACAAAAATAAACAGCGCCTCTCCTCCCCTCTGCCACAAGCTGGAGCCTGCAGACAGCCAGCGCGGCTGGAGGCCCACGAACAACCAAAGAGCCACCTCTTCCTCCAGGCGCGTGCAGCCGAAAGCAGCAGGTCACGAGGGCGGGCAGCAAGCACAGATCTCCTCGCTGAAGGTCTCTGGGAACGAGTCTAGGCCTTTCTCAAGCTGCGCACCCGATGCTGGCGGAGCAAACAAGACAGCCAAGCATCCAGATAAAGGCCAGCACAGCACCGGGCTCCGGGCCGGCTGCCTCAGGCTGCAGCCAACTTGCGCAGCACCTAAAGCCTCCCGCCCAGCCCAGCACGTCTGCGACCTCCGGGCGCATCGTCGGAGGTCACCCCGAGAATCCAGGCTCAAGGTCGGCCGGCCTCGCCCTCTCCCTGCATCCGTGCTCTCTGCAGCTCCTCGGGCGCGGGCCCCGGCTCTCGCAGGCGCCGGGGGGATTCCGTCCCCGCCAGCCAGGACGCCATCAAGGGCGTGCAGAAACCGGTTCTCGCTGCCAATGCAACAAGTCTCTCCCTGGAGTGAAAGCATACCCGGGTCTAACTACGCCTGCTTGCCGCGGTGCGGGGAGGCCCGGGATGCGGCCGCTGCTCCCCGCCTTCTGCAGCCCGAGCCCGGGAACCGCGAGGGCTAGGCAGGGCCGGCCGGGATGCTAAGGGCCAGAGGCCCGGGAGGCGCTGGCTCCTTGGTCTTCCTTTCTGACTTGCCGCACGGTCAGTGCCCAACATACGCACCAGCCAGCCTGCCCCCCGAGTTAGGAATCGGGGTCCTGGGCACAGATCCACCTACCCTGCGGGAGGAGGCCCTGGAGAGCGCTGCCACAGCCGCCGCGGAGAAGCCAGAGTCTGCCGCCGGACCTGCGGGAGGGCGGGGAAGGCGGCGCCCCACCCCCTCCGCAGCCGCTAAGGTTTCTCCATTGTGATTGGAAACCCGAGCCACCTGCTCCTCCCCGCGGCTCGCTCAATCCCCTGCAAGGACGAGAGCTCCGGTGTGCGCCGC